TATCTATCTATCTATCTATCTATCTATCTATCTATCTATCTATCTATCTATCTATCTATCTATTCAGCAAAAGTATTATAAAATACAATCCTCCAATTGTTGTCCAAAGGTGCTTTTTTTCAGGAGACAACTGGACTTTCTGGTTTTTCTTTGAAGATGTTTTGCTTCTAATCCAAGGAGCTCTTCAGCTCTGACTGGATGGTGGGTAATAAAAATACTACAACCTTTGATGCCAAAGAAGCTTCCTGTTTGGAAGTGTAGTTTGCATCCTTTTAGAGATGAGCCAACTTGGAGGTTTGTTGAGCCAACTTGGAGGTTTGTCTGTGTCCTGAGGTCACCTGAGTGATGCAAATGGCTGTGGAATTATTAAGGTAATGGAATGTGAGGAAACTGGCAGTTGGAATAGAGTTCTTTTCAGGTGGGGAAGGGGCACGCTCTTGGCATCAGAGCGTGTTAATTACTGTATTAAATACTAATCTCATGGTCATTTCAAAAAATCCTTTCTTAACAAGCACCTAGAAGCCAAGAGGAACAAAGATGCCAAATTTCAAGTTTGTAGGCTTTATGGTTCTGGAGATTTTGTGATGCTGTGTGAGTAGTATTTCGCTTTTATACAGTATATATAGATTCTATATTGGGTTTTGGTGTGATGCTAATGCTGTGATGGTGTGATTCTGTGCAAAATAATAGCAATCTTATTTCATCCATGGTTATGTTCTCTCTTGTTCCTTCATCTTTCTTTTCTATGTCATAAAATAAAATGGAAAGCATCAATTAAGAACTCCCCCCCCCCCCAAAAAAAAAGGTTAAAACTGAAAAGAAAAGCTTGTTTAGGGAAGGAAGAAGTTGAGTAGGTAGTGGTAACTGTAGCTGGATAAAAGCAATTTGATTGAATGACTGGGATGTGATTCTATTTAACTTGTTTGCTAATTGTCAGTCGATAAATGGTTGTTAAAATGATTTCTCCAATCTGAGGCTACTTGCTAGTTGTTTTGGCTTCCTGGAATTATTGATTTTCTTTTTAAAAAGCTGAATTGATTATTCCTTCCTCTGCATAGTTTCTTGTTATTTCATCAAATCTTTCTTGGATGAAAATAAGAGTTTTATTACTGTTGGAAATCTTAAGATGAACTTTAATTATTGAGAAGAGACACTATATACATCTAGTTCTTGAACACTTAATATGTAAATATTTGGCCATCAGAAAGCTATAATGAGTTTATTACGGCCCACTACTATATCCATTAAGTTTGGTCTTTAATTTTCCACTATGTTTAAGTCTTTTGCTATTGTTCTCTATCCTAATGTTGGTTGCAATGTAATATTCTCTTACCTAAGCGTATCAGTGAATTAAAAGGTTTATATACTATACTCATATAATATAGCAATATACTTTTATATTTCTACATAAAAACAATGTTAAGAGAGCTAGCATGAAAAGGCACCTTGAATCATAATATTTGATTTTTTTTTAAAGTGGTTAGTTTACCATATAACAATTCTCACTCTATGTCTGTTTGTCTGTCCGCTGCCTGTGTGTGTGTGTAACGTTAAAGATTTATAGAATTGTACTAAATATACAAGGAGAAAGCATATGTACACAGGTAAAAGCTCGTTTATATTTCAGCACATTGAACAAATTATAATTGTTTGCCTACGTTGGCTATGACACAGCATTATGTATTCCTAATATATTATTTTAGTATTTGAAAAGCAGAGTATGATAAATAACCTACCAAATTAAATTATGATTAATGATTTCAGTTCATTTGAAATATTAAACAGTAAACAACCAAATGCCTTGATTGCAAAATACAAGAATCCTGTTAGTAGCTAATAAATATGTAGATATATAAATCGAATAAGCTAATACTATCCCTAACAATTTATTTAAAAGTTCAGTTAGTTCAGAAATATTAATCCAAAGAACAGAGACAAAAGGGAGTTTGTTTTCCAAAATGTATCTGGCAGTAGTGAAACATTTTATTTTATATCTTATGTAAATATATAGAGCAGATCTTCAAATTAAAACAGACAAGCAGAAGAATCTGCTTACAAAAATGTACTTGGCAGTAAAACATATTTTATATCTTAGATAAATTAATTGAGAAGATCTTCAGATCAAAGCCAATAAAAAATAAAATAATAAAATTAAACACTACAATAATAGAAAAACAATACAAAATTTCAGTTGTATTATTCTGTTATAAAAAGTCTTCTATTCATCTGAAAAGAGAATATGTATGTATGTATGGTATTCAGCTTTTTTCAGGTATTTTCCCACATCTTTATAGTTGTGCTTTTAAAGTTGTAGCAACGTTTCGGCAGAATCTCATCTGCCATCATCAGGCTTGTATATTGGGTTTGTCTTCATCGTGTGTGTCAGGCTTTCGCAGCCATTTCTACGAAAGCCTGACACGAAGATGAATACTAACGTTGTATACTAATTGTTTCAGGTGTTGTTGTGAGTTGTTGGGGGCTTTCTTGTCATGTTCTAATTTTTTTAGTTTCTTCAGGAGTTTGTCATTTTTGTAAGTGGTTTCAGTTTCAGCTTTCCAAGTTGTAAGTTGTTTTATCTTGTCCCAAAGTAGATGGTGGATTTTGTTGCTCAATTTCAGGTGTAGAATTAGGAAATCTTTGTTTAACTGATCAAGTTGGAATCTCTTTCGTTTTTTCATTCCTGAGTAGAGCCATTTCAGTTCTTTTCAGGATACGCTTAGTAGCTGCTGTGCTGTGATTAAATGTTAATTTGAAGCAGGTTGGTGTTGCATTGTTGTCTCTGCAGCTGCATAAGAATTTGAGGTCATATAGTATTCCTGCTCTTTTAACTTCCAGCTTCTCGTAAGTTTTGGTCTGGCTGTTTATTTCCTCCCCGTAGAGGTCTGATGTTTGTTTTCTTAAGTTTTCATGGGTATTTGTATGTATGGTATTCAGCTTTGTTCGGGTATTTTCTCACGTCATTATAGTTGTGCTTTTAAAGTTGTAGCAACGTTTCAGCAGAATCTCATCTGCCATCATTAGGCTTCTGTATTGTGTTCATCTGTGAGTCAGACTTTCACAGCCATTTCTGTTTTAAATTTGGTGCTAGCCTATGCTGTGCCAGAATGGTTTTTTCTTCATCCTGATTAGTTGGAAGTCTTGGTCTGTGTTTATTGGTCTTGCAGTTTGCTGTGTTCTGCTTGATTGGTGTTTCTAATATCTTCTGTCTGTTTTGTAGCTTTTTTGTCTTGATTGGCTGGCAACATTGTGTTTCCTGTATTAGAGGCTTTTAGTGTGGCTTGGCTCCGAGTAAATGGATGACTATCATTTATTAGGAAGCTAGGTTTCATCTGGGTGCCTGGTTAGGGTGTGTTTGAGCTGGAGGTATCAGGGGGTGCTGTTTGTGCCCAGGTGTTTGGCTGGCTTGTGGTTTGGTGATTTTTTTTGTTTGAGAGTGCAGGCTTCCAGATAATTGACAGTCTGGTGGAATCATCTCTTCTATTCATGCTTTCAGGTCTATTTTCAATCTCTATGGCTTCTCTGATAATTCTGTGGCTGGGGTTTTCTATAGTGGCTAGGATTTTGGTGCCATTGAAGTTGATGCTATGACTTGTTGCTTTCATGTGTTGGACTAGTGAGGAAGTGTGTTCCAACCAAATGAACACTATACAGAAGCCTGATGATGGCAGATGAGATTCTGCCGAAACGTTGCTACAACTTTAAAAGCACAACTATAATGACATCGGAAAATACCTGAATAAAGCTGAATACCATACATATAAATACCGCGAAAACTTAAGAAAACAAATATATATATATATATATATATATATATATATATGTATGTATATGTATATGTATATGTATATGTATATGTATATGTAGGTAGGTAGGTCGGTCTAGGTGTGTTTGGGTCTTTTCCCATGTAAGATTACATATAAATACCTGCGAAAACTTAAGAAAACATATATATAATATGTAATAATTGTAAGTGTTCCTATGTACATATCAGGTAGTTAATTTTTATATTTCAAGCAGATATTTTTTGTAAGTTACAATGATTAAAAAGATAGTTTCAATAAAAAAATTTTTTCTTGTTATCTTGGGTTAAAATGGCATTTGCATGAAATTCCACATGACTAAATCTCAACAATGAATAATGACAAACTTGTGTGGATTAGCCCATCCAATACACAATAATTGAATTGTATTTTTTTACAGATTCCTATCGTGGATAAGCAATGCTCTTTTTTTTAATTGGCATTATTGCATTCTCTGGTGTACTTTTTAATCCTTTTTCAGTCAATTTTGTTTAGGCAAATAAGATTAAAATAAATATGTTGATATCTTTGGTAACCCTTATTGGACTGACTAGGATTGAATGACAACCTTTCAATTTTATTTATAGGTAAAGAATGAGATATGGGAAGAGATCATTTGTTGTATAGGAAAATATGACATTGCTAAAACGTATTTATGTGACATACATTTATATATTTTCTTTATATTAACACTTAATATATATATACATATACACACATACTTTATATATTTTACTATATATAGTAAAATATACTATACACTACATATATTTTCAATTTCTTCATTTTTTTCCTTTTCTGAACTTTATTTTTACTCTTTCATTTTTCTAGATTTTGTTAGCTTTTATCCTTTTAATTGTAGCATTCATGAACATAAAAAATAACATAAAATTATAGCAAAAAGTAAAAAGAATGTTCCCTTAAAATAGCATTTTAATTTAACATTTTGCTTTGTGAGCCTCTAAAGTTTGATTCAAGATGAGTAGCTATATTAATGTTTTATTAATATTTTAAATAAATAAAATACACCTTTAAGGTATAGCCAATATTTTAAATGAATCAATAGATTAATTTTGAAACAAAGATATGACAGTATGATGTAACTTTTTCCATTTAGGAATTAGTATGAAATATACTAAATATAATAATGAAATATACTACAGTAAGTATACAGTAGAAATGAACTTTTTAAAAGACAGAATTCTTTATTAATAGAATTGGTTACTAGCAGGCAAAAGGCCAAAAGTAAAAAAAAAAAAGTTCATGCAGGAAGCCTTGAGGCTATTTGAAGGTCTCTGCTAGAGGCACAGATGGAAAAGAGACCCTAAGGATGAAATTAAAGATAGAGATAAGAAATCTACATTTTAAGCCAAAATGTATGTATTTTTATGTTAGGGTTTTTTTCCCACAAGCATCTAAATAAAGAGTTCAAATTATATGATTTCTAATTTGCATAATTTCTAATAAACAATTCACTAATCTTTTGCTGTTGGTCTTTTGTAGAAAGTCACCTTCTAAACATACATTTTAGCTAAATCAGCACATTAGAAAATCAATTATCTAGTATCCCTGACCTTGAGAAATAATTACCAGTAAAAAAGTAAAAAAAATATTATATAACCACCTTCACAAGAAATGTATCAACTGTAGACCTTGGTAATGAACATGAATCAAGCAAAATTTTACAGACATATTTTATATGTGTATATGCTTTGTATATAGTTTTAGATATTTTGTAGAATGGCTTAATTCTACTGCATTATGGATGGGGTAGCATTATGGAAGCAAATGGCCACTGCTTGCCATTACAAGCTTTGAAGTAAACAAAAACTTGTTATTTCAACATCATATTAGTACATAGTACTTTTCACCTTAAAACCTCTAGAAAAGATTCTTTATCAAGTTCTTAAAAGGAAAGTTTTGTGCTTTTGATCATGATCTATATATGTGTGGATCTGTGGTATATTGCTTTTATTTCCCTAGATAATCTATTCACTTCCCCCATTACTTTAAGGTTCTTTCATATTCAATGAAAGAGGTAATAGTATTTGACAGAAAATATTTGCATTAAGTGCTCTTGCTGGAAACATTATTGCTTCTGAAGAAAATTAACTGTCCTTATTGTATATCAGTATTGTGTTAGCTTCTTGTGGATATATAAGTTTATAAGCTAATAAGAATCTCTGAGTCCGTAGCATCTTTCATGAATTTTGGCCTTGCTAGAGTTTTGATATATATGTTAAATATTGTACTAAACACGATCTACAATAGCCCTTCAGACATTTTCAGTTGGTCTGATAAAAGTATGTGGGTTGTTTATTGAGAGATTGTGTTAGATCTTGAAAAGATCTATACTATTAGGTGCAGTTGGACTGTAACTCATCATTAAACCATTGCATCCTGATAAAGTGAGGTTATCACTTTTTCCAATATGAATTTGTTCATATGCTAAAATATCATGTTAGACTTTGGGGATAAAAGCTTTCACAATTAGAATTTGTATCTGTTCATTGATTGGTGGCTGATATTTCTTTTCGCATGAAGTCATACCAATGTAATTTGATTAGGCTTTTGAATTTCCTATAAAATTATGTTCATTTTTCTAAAATAGGTTCAAAGAAAATTTCTTTTCCTAAGTAGTAGAGTGGACTTTATTTAGATTTCCAATATATTTGTGCTATTTGAAGCCATATTTATTCAATATATATATGACTGCCTTCAAAACAGATAGAAAAATAGCAGCCATCCTAAGAAATCCCAAAGATAAAATTGACCTGGAAAACCAAGGAATATATGAAGTACCCTGTGCATCATACCCTGCCACATACATTGGACAGACCAATAGAGTCTGGATGTACCCGCCTGGATGAACACAAGTACCCGCCTGGATGAACACAAAAATGCAGTAAAAAAGCTGGAACACACTTCCACACTAGTCCAACACATGAAAACAACAGGTCATAGCATTGACTTCAATGGCACCAAAACCCAAACTATAGAAAACCACAGCCACAGAATTATCAGAGAAGCCATAGAGATTGAAAAAAGACCTGAATAGAAGAGATGATTCCAGCAGACTGTCAATTATTTGGAAGCCTGCACTCACAAACAAAAAAATCTCCACGCCACAAGCCAGGCAAACACCTGGGCACACACAGATCCCCCTGATACCTCCAGCTCAAACACACGCCAACCAGGCACCCAGATGAAACTTAGCTTCCTAATAAATGATAGCCATCCGTTTACTCAGAGCCAAGCCGCACTAAAAGCCTCCAATACAGGCACACAATGTTGCCAGCCAATCAAAACAAAAAAAGCCACAAAACAGACAGAAGATATTAGAAATACCAATCAAGCAGAACACAGCAAACTCCAAGACCAATAAACACAGACCAAGACTTCCAACTAATCAGGATGAAGAAAAAACCATTCTGGAACAGCAGTAGTCTAGTCCCAAATTTAAAACAGGAACGTCTGTGAAAGTCTGACTCACAAACGAACACTATACAGAAGCCTGATGATGGCAGATGAGATTCTGCCGAAATGTTGCTACAAATTTAAAAGCACAACTATAATGATGTGAGAAAATACTCGAACAAAGCTGAATACCATACATGTAAGTACCCGCGAAAACTTAAGAATCAATCTCTCTCTCTCTCTCTCTCTCTCTCTCTCTCTCTCTCTCTCTCTCTCTCGACTCAGATGTGTATTATCATTATACCAAATACTTGTTTCTTTTGCAACTGATTTTGAAAAGGTTATTTTTACAGGGAAAAAATACAATGTGTTCAAAATATATTTGTCCTGTGTCCTGTGTGCAGAGTTACTATTCAGAAAAATACCATTGGATGCTTCAAAATGAATTATACAATAACTGTATCAGTCAGTGGCAGAATGCATCTAAAATACAGTTCAATTAGTCGGTGGCTTTGGACATCTAAAGTACAGTTCAATCCCTGATCAGTTAAGGGATGCTTGTGTCTGCACAAAATGAGTACTAATCAATATGGATAATATTGAATTGTCCACAGATCATAATGAGTTCCTTTATTCAGATCATGCACTTAAATATTTTTAGTATTATTATTTGTTTATATTAAAATGTTATGGATTCCCATTCCAATAAATAAAATAATTTTAAAAAAAAGCACAGCCCGGACTAGAGCAATCATGGCAATACCAAGAAACGCAACGGCGACTCTACAAATATACTAACCCCAGGCCAGAGCCACATCTTAAGGGCTTTCCAGAATCTCAGGAAAGACAGCACTGTCCCTATCTCTGGAGATTACCTGCTTATAGGCATTATTTCAGAATGTCCAGGAAGATAGAACAATTTATTTGAACGAGAGATGATAAATTTGGCTTTCTCTATTAAATGTCTAAGTCCATATCTTCTGCTTAAATACCACCAGTTTTTTTTTTAGGCCTACGAGATGGTATTGACAAGCCACATTGGGTCAATTCAATATAATACTAGTAAATTATAACATGGATTACAAAGAAACATAATAGCTTTCTTCATATATTAAGTTTAGTAACTTAAGTGGTCACATTATTATTTTCTTTAAGATGTAATTATTGAATATGAGATTCATAAATATAGTAAATTGCAAATAATTTTGTATTGATGTTAAGACAAATTTCACTGTCGTATTTACATAATCATCAGGAGCTGAACTGAATGGTATATTTACATTTTTAAAGGTAATATGTCATAAGTAGGGTCAATTCATTTTGAAAGAAACTGATTTTCCAAAACCTTTGAATTTTAATTTAGTAGTAGTAGCCATCCTTAATAATTTTGTTACACCTTTCAGCAACATTTCCCGAGATTGTTAGGACATAGTAGTTTAAGAATTATGGTTTAACCAAACCTGTAGTCGTTCACATCAATCTATGAATTTAGATAATCTCTATAGCAGTTCATATCCTTTTAAGTAGCACTATACTCTAGCATTTATGATCATACATCTAATATATAATTAAATGTTTATTTAAAAAATAAGAAAACTGTTTGAATTAACAATTAAGATTCTACAGCATTGATATAAATGGATATTATCAGAGCCAGGATAAAACATAGAATATATACCAAAGAATGGTGATTTTAGTTCTCATTTTGCTCCATCTCATGTATTCTAAATATGTATTTGTGTGTATGTATGCATACATTCATTCATACATTCATACATACATACATACATACATACATTACATACATATGACAATGCATAATTAATTTTTGTTCTTGAACACACATCTTGAATTTGCGATTTGTTGGTTGATGTCCCTTTGAGGAGGTCTTGCTGATGCAAAAGTATGATTTTATGTCTATCAATTCTGTGATCTTTGGCATTTTCACTGGATGTGGTTGAAATTTGGTATTATCAAACTTCCAATGAATTACACTTATACAACATGGATACGTACTGTATGTAATGCATGCCTTGCCCCAACTTTGTGTAAAAACCCTTTTTGCATAACAATTATTTTGCTTCGACATGGTAGAACATATAGCCTCGATAGCAATGAGAGTACCTAGGGTTACATTCCATTTAGGATTACGGGAGCCAGGTGTCTGCTGTTGCTCAGGTGAAAGGGGAAGTCACTCTACATGCTTGCCATTTTGACCTATTTAAACTTTTTTTTTTTGCTTTTTCCTGTTTTTTAATATTGCATACAAATTAACTATTTTCTAGTTGTATTCTAATAAGGATACTGAGAAATAATATATAGTCGTTATACCATTGCTACAACAATAAATCTAAAGGTGGGCTAAGACTTTGCATAATACTTTTTTTCTCTCTCTCTCTTTCTTTCCCTCTCCTCCTCTCTTTCTCTTTCTCTTTCTCTTCTTCCCTCTCCCCCCTCCGCCTTTCTTCCCCCCTCCCCATGTCTGTGTGTGCAAGATAATTTACTTTTTTTCTATGATGGAAAATAAATCTGTGGAAGAAAGCAGAGGTGGCCCTTAGTGGAATTTGTTAATAATCTTATTTCATAGTTCCAAAATCCTCAAAAGCAAAAAATTGTATTCAGTTTTTCTTGCTATAAAGTGAGAAAGATCAGGGTTTTTTAAAAGTTATCTCTTGGAATCTTTGAAAATAACAGCATATGATGGCAAAAAAGTTCCATTTACAAAGCTTTTTTTAAAAAAAAAAACTTCTGAGATATTCTTACAAGATATTCCATTAAACACTTTAAAGT